GTGTCTACACTGGCATGAATTTCTGGAACTGCTTAAAACGGAATACTATTCCGTTTTCAGTTTTTCTGGAAAAGGAGCGTCTACATTGGCAGGCTGCTTTTCCGGAAAAGCCCTTTTTCTGGAAAAGCGTCTGTGGCCAATGTAGACGCGCTTTTCTGGAAAAGAGCCCCGATCGCTATCGGGGCTTTTTTCCGGAAAAGACTACTGGGCTGTCTACACTGGCCCTTTTCCGGAACAGTGTTCCGGAATAAGGACTTATGCCCGAGCAGGAGCAGAATAGTTTTTCCGGAATAGCGGCTGATTTTGTACAGTAGAGCATCATTGCTTTTCCGGAAATTCAAGGGCCAGTGTAGACAGCTCGCAGCTTATTCCGGAAAAGCGGCTGATTTTCCGGAATAAGTGGCCCAGTGTAGACACAGCCTAAGAGTGTGGTTTTTAAATCAAGTAAATGCTAACACGATACCGTACCATTGCAGGGCAGAGGAAGGTTTTGTTTGTGACCCTGTGTGATGGATAGGCAGAGTGCTGGCCAGCATCTGGTGACTAAGGGATTAAAATCAGGTAGCTAGCAAGGGTGTTGGCAGGGGACCTGAAGAGCTAATGAGGATACAATGCAGAAATTTTGAATTGTATTTAGATACCTTGCTTGCTCTCTTTGTTTAAAAAAAAAAATCTAAGTTAAGGGATGGAGGAAGCAGATGCAGTAATCAGAATTACCATGACTATAAGAAATATGGACATGGGAGTGAATTGGGGCTTGAAGTACGGATCAGCACGGATCATAAGTAGAGGGAAAAAAACGTGTCTTAGTTTGTGATCAGGGTATCTTTCTTTATTTTTGGTTGTTTGGTTAAACTTCTCTGTGTGAATCTTTGCCTTCCCTCCCCCACTCACCATTTAAGGGTGTGTCTAAACTACATGGCTCTACATGGAGCCATGTAGATTAGGCTGATCGGCAGAGGGAAATGAAGCCGCAATTTAAATAATCACGGCTTCATTTACATTTAAATGGCTGCCATGCTGAGCTGACAAACAGCTGATCAGCTGTTTGTTGGCTCAGCGCGCTAGTGTGCGCTAGTCTGGACGCTCCCACGCTGACATGAAAGCCCTTTATCGACCTCCCCGTTATGCCTTCTAGGATGAGGTTTACCGGGGAGGTCGATAAAGGGCTTTCATGTTGGCAGGGGAGCGTCCAGACCGCCCCGATCTGCCGACAAACAGCTGATCGGCAGAGCGGGGCAGCCATTTAAATTTAAATGAAGCCACAATTATTTAAATCGCGCCTTCATTTCCCTTTGCTGAACAAACAAATCTACATGGCTCCATCAAGCCTTCTAGGATGAGGTTTACCGGGGAGGTCGATAAAGGGCTTTCATGTTGGCAGGGGAGCGTCCAGACCGCCCCGATCTGCCGACAAACAGCTGATCGGCAGAGCGGGGCAGCCATTTAAATTTAAATGAAGCCACAATTATTTAAATCGCGCCTTCATTTCCCTTTGCTGAACAAACAAATCTACATGGCTCCATCAACGGAGCCCTGTAGTCTAGACCTACCCTAAGTTACAGCCCAAAAAACTATGATTCTTTGTGGTTTTGATCTGTTCTTTTCTTAGTTGCTCTGTAACACCTAGCAATCAAGTATGCTTTATCCACTGTATCTTTTTGTTTTGTTTAAAAAAAAATGATGCTTTTATAAAGGCAATGATTTGACTCTTGGGTCCTGGAAGGTAACAGGAGTTCTGTGTGTCTGCCTAACCTTCAAGGTCATCTATCAGAGATACTGTTTGTTTTTCTGTGCTTTTTGCTTCTTCTTTTTCAAGCTCTCTTGGGGGCAAAAGAGCTTGGGGAAGGAATTAAAGAGTTCTTTCCTGTTCTCTCCCCCCCAAAGGTTAAATCACTTGATGGTGGCAACTACCTCCCAAAGTCAGTAAATGTGTGACCTGAGGAGTTTTTGTAAGCAGAGCCTATAGAGGCACAGTATTTAAGGTCCCTTGTGGGCCCACATCTTATGCACTCAGATTGCCAGAGTGGGGAGTAGCCCTGACACACTGTAAGTGATCAGCTCAAGGTTTCATCAAGTGTAGTATTTGTTTACCCTTTGTCACAGGATAAGCTGGGCCTATAAAGGGTTGAGGTTCCAAACTGTGCTATCACCTGATTCAAACACAGGCCAGAGCTGAGACCTTAACCCCTCACAAGCCCAGCTCACTCTGTGGCTGACTTACATCAGATAGATTACTAGAACTGGAAGGGAGATCATCAAGCCCAGTCCCTTGCCCTCACAGTAGGACCAAGCACGGTCTATATCCATGGTCACCAACCAGTCAATTGCGATTGACTGGTCAATCGCGAGGCGTTCGGCCCACCCCCCCATTTTCCTCCCACCCCCGAGAAGCCCCACTACCTACCTCCAGCGACAATGGAGGTAGTGCCAGCCTCCTACGGAGTGGACGGAAGTCCTGCAGCTTCGTGCCACTTCCGGGGGTTCTTCTGGAAGTGCACTGGCTGCTCCCCTCCCACAGGTCTGTGGCATGCCAGGCACGCTGTGGGAGGGGGCATCTGCCCTGGAGGAGGAGCGCAGTGGCTTCCCTGCGCTGCAGGAGGGGTGAGTTGGCCCCAGGGGAGGTGCATGTGAGGGTTTCCCCGCGCTGCAGGAGGGGTGGTTGGCCCTGGGGCAGGCACGTGCGAGGGTTTCCCCATGCCACGGGGGGGAGGGAGAGGTCGGGTCCAGAGGGCGTGCAGGCTGGCTTCCCTTGGGGGGGAATCCTGGGAGGAGGTGGGGGTCGGAGACTCCCCACCCCCACTGGCCCCTGGTGAATCTTGGGAGGAGGCGGGTGCATGGGACTCTCTGCCCCCACTGGCCCCCAATCCCTCTCCCCTGCCTCCTGTTCCCTCTCCCCACTCCCCAGCCTCAGAAACCTGTCCCCACTGGCACCCCGTCTCCTGCTGTCCCAGCACCCTGTTCCCTCTCCCCAGCCTCAGAAACCTGGCACCCTGTCCCCTGCCGAAGCAGCCACTATCCCCCTTCCCCAGTACTATGTCCCCTGCTTCCACCAGCACAGTTGGGGCCACGTTAGCTTGGGGTGGGGGGAGGTTGGAGGAGGGTTTTTTTGCATCGCATTTGTGTGGCTTTTCTTGGGTCGGTGACCCCTGACTCAAAACAGGTTCCCGCCCTTCTCAGAAATAAAGACAATGCGTTGTGTTTGATACAGTATTTTATTTAAAAATGAAGCCCGGCCAACCAACGGCCAATTGGGGCCAAGCCCCCACCTGGCCACAGCATCATAACACTCCTGCACTCCCCTTTCCCCCAGACCCTACAGCTGAGCCTATCATAGACTGGAACCCCCTGCCCTGAGCCCCTCACATACCCCAATCCAACTGCACTTCCCTTTCCCCAGACCCTACATCTGAGCCTACCATACACTGGAACCCCCTGGCCTGAGCCCCTCACATACCCTAACCCAAATTCCTGAACCCTCACATCCAGAAGTCTGTGGCTTTTCCCATCGCCTCTCGAAAATGGTGATAGGGGCTTTCTTGCGCAAAACCGTGTCTAGATTGGCACGGGCACTTTTCTGCAAAAAGTGTTTTTGTGGAAAAGCATCCGTGCCAATCTAGATGCTCTTTTCCGCAAATGCTTTTAACGGAAAAACTTTTCCGTTAAAAGCATTTGCAGAAAATCATGCCAGTCTAGACATAGCCCCAAGAGTTTTTCAGGATTCCAGAGACATCCCAGAAAAACTCTTCTGCATCTAAGGATGTGTTTATTCTTCCGCTTTTTTTAGCGGAAGAGCAAACATGATCTTTCGGTCATCCCTATATTCCTCTTTCCACGAGGAATAAGGGGGGGTTCCAAAAGAAGGCTTTTTTTCTGACATTTGGTCCAGTCTAGACCGGCCAAATGTTGGAAAAGCCCCTTCCTGCAGAAGAATTGGGGGGGGGAAGCAGTAGTATAAGGGTTGGGGATAGCAAGTGATGGAGAGGTGGAGAATAGAGAGGGCGGGGCTTCAAGGAAGGGGCAGGGCTGTAGATCTTGGCTTGTTCTGTTATTTAAAAAGTGATCTTGGGTGTGTAAAGGTTGGAGACCACTGTTCTATATCATACCTGACAGGTGTCTGTCTAATCTGTTCTTAAATATCTCCAGTGATGGAGATTCCACAACCTCCCTAGGCAATTAATTCCAGTGTTTAACCATCCTGACCCTTTGGGAATTTTTCCTAATGTCCAACCTAAACCTCCCTTTCTGCAGCTTAAGCCCATTGCTTCTGGTCCTGTTGTTAGAGGCCAAAGAACAGTTTTCCCCCCTCCTCCTTGTAACACTCTTTTATATACCTGAAAACTGCTATCACGTTCCCCCTCGGTCTTCTGAGATGCAGGAGGGATACATTGCACCCCACCCTCCAGCCAGATTGTACTCGATTGTAGGAGTTACCCCTTAGGAAAGGAAGCTAGTGATAGCACATCCTTGCCTGAGAGGCTCTTCAATTTCAACTGTATTGGCCTTACCTGCCAAAGTTGTCTGTGGGATGTGCTTGACTGGCTCACCCCTCTGGAGCTGTGGTTATGGCCCTTTTGCTGCCAGCATTGCCTAATGCTTGGCCTGTACTGGCTAGCAGCCATCCAAGGAGAGAAGGGGTTATAAGTGTCTTGCACTCCCCTGCTTGCTCTGGTAGACTTCCAACTCCTGTAGACTTTGGCCTCTACTAACAAATACCAGAGTCAGTGTCTCCCAGGAATGAATGTAAACAAATGTTTCCCATAAACATTTGCTACTGCTTACAAAAGTGTGCTGTGGCTGTTCCTTTGAGCTCGTGGGTCTTCCTTCCAGGGGATGTTAAATTGCCTAATGATTGTCTTCCTAACATAAGATGGTGGGAAAACAAGTCTTATTGCATAGCTTCCCATTGCATCTTTGCGCAGCTGAATGTAGCCTCTCTCTATCTTCTGGAAAGCCAGTTTCTATTTAAAATAAGAGTGGGCTTTTGGTTCCCTTTGCAGATGCTGGCCAAAGTAAGTGTCGATTAGAGAGGGTCCAGGCGCTGGAACAGGCAAAGAAGCCCCAAGAAGCGGTCTTCATTCCAGAATGCAATGAGGATGGATCATTCACACAAGTAAGATTTCAGTCAGACTATATCAGTTGCCGTTTCCTCTGGCTGGCAGGAATTAACTACCGGTACTAGTGTCTGACCAAAGGGGAATGATGACAAGGTGGTAAAAATAGACTGTGGTAGGCAGACATCCTCACTGCCTTGGAGATCAAAAGGCCTTGCCAGTTGATAGCTGTTTGGACTGTGCAAGATACAGTGTTGGCTACTCCTGAACCGAAAGGACATGTACATCAGCATCCCCCTTCAGCATGACCTGTGCTAATTAGCTCCTTTGTTAGGTCCTCTATCTGTCCTGGGACTTAATGTGCTATGAGCCTGAGCCACATGGACATTCTTCCATGGCAGGGTAAGGCTGCCTGACAGGACAGGGTGGGACAAGCCTCCTCTGCTGCTGCTCATACTTCACCTGTTTTGGTGAAAAAGGACTAAAAGGGTACAAGAAATTTAGTCTTGATGTTCTGGCATGCAGCAATCTGGAGTGGCTGTTGCCGTGGCTGCTAATGAGAACAGTGTAGCTCACTAGTGGCTAGGGAGGTAAAAGGAAGCCATGTGCAGTTCAACCCTGAAGCTGGGTAAATGGGAGAGATGAATAGTCTATTGGACTTGGCACAGGGCTCTAAGCCAGCAGTTGGAGGCCCTAATCCTGTCTTTGTGACCTTGTCCAAGTAGCATAACTTCTCTGCATTCATTTCCCCATGGATAAAATTAGGATAGAATTTCCCTGCTACATAGTGAGCTAATTACTCCTCAAATCCCCATGTATAAAATGTTTCTATACATTAAAAGTCTAAGTATTATTTAATGCTGATTTCAAAATGATGAGAAGGAAAGTTTTGGGGCCAGTTTAAACAATCCAGGATGTCTTGGAGAAGGGGAGAGGAAGGATGCTCCTTGCAATATCAAATCTCTCCATCTTCCCACTCCCCCCACAAATAATGAGATTCTTGAAGATACAAAGCTAGCTCATCCTTATTTTATTCCCCCCCCATCACTTGCCTCTGTCTGTCCATCTGCATTTTTCTACATTTAAAGTGGATACAATCTTATTGATCCTGCCAACTTCCTGACATGTATGATCCTTTATTTTTTATCCTCTTTTCCTAAACCGTTTGTGCCTATTTGTGTAAAATATGTGCCTTATTTCTGGGAGAGGTGACAAATGGGGTGTGTGTGAAATGGCAAGTATCCCATATCATCACTTTGAGCCAGTCTTTAAGATGTAGCCTTGTACATGGTTATGTAGATTATATTGAGGTTGGTATGTGTAGCAGAAAGCAGAGGCAGGAACCAAAAGGTCCTGCTGCAAGGTCCACAAAGTCACTCTGAGATTTTAGGATAAGTAACCACTGGTGCAGTTTATTCAGAGTCTTGTTCCCACCACTGTTTCATCATATGCAGTTGGTCCTTCACCGCTGCAGGCGGGAGGGAGGGAAAAGCTAAATCTCTGCTTCTACTCCCTGCTTTTTCCCTTTCCTTCTGCTCCCCACCTTGGCTTCTTCCCTGGAGGCTTTTAGACAGCCACAAGCTAATTAGGTGTCAGCTGTGTATGTTACTTTATCTTCAGACAACTCTGATTTATTTCCCTAAATGGGAGGTGGTATGACTGAGGGCAGAATGAGCAATCCTTTGCCCAAAATCCTGTCACCTCCTTCTTTCTTTTTGGAGCTGAATTTTGGTGTGTCCCCCATCAGTTGTCCTTCAACAGCTAGAGATTAAACATCAGAAGATGGGATGGAATTTCTGCCCTGACTGCTGGACTTAGACTTGCTGATAGACAGCCCTTTCTTCTCAACCTGAGTATTGAATATGTTGCTGATAGTAGCTGGAGAGCTCTTAGGTGAGCATTTATTGTACAGCATACTTGGTACAGGTTGTACCTCCCTTAACCGGGACACTCTGGTCTGGCAACATCCGTGGTTTGGCAGGACCAGGGATGTTCCTGGACCACAAAGCCCAGGTATTGGGAGGTAGAGCCATGGTGCGGGAGATTGGGCCATGGTGCAGGAGCATGGCAGGGGGGTTGGCGACTCACCTGGGAGCCCCATGAAGGGGGGTGCAGAGGGGCGGGTGGTGCAGTGAAGAGTTCTGCTCCTTATAGCAGAGAGGTAGCAGGAGCCAGCGGCGGCTGCAGAGCTCCAGCCGTGGAACTCGGGGGCCGGCAGCACCAGCTAGGGGGCTCCAGCCTGGGGAGCCATGGCTGGGCAGGCAGCAGCGATGCCGGGTTGGAGCCCTAACAGGGTGCAGGAGTTCAGTACTGGCTGTGTTGGGAGGGACCTCCCCTGGTCCGGCAAATCCTCTCAGGTCCTGAGGGTGCTGAATGAGAGAGGTCCAACCTATGCCAAACATAAGAATGGCCATACTGGGACAGATCAGAGTTGTCTCGCCCAGTATCCTGTCTTCCAAAATTGGCCAATGGAAGGAATGAACAGAACAGGGCAATTATGAATGATCCATCTCCTTTTTTCCATCCCCAGCTTCTGGCTGCTAGAGGCTTAGGACACCCAGAGAATGGGGTTCCATCCCCGACTGTCTTTGCCAATAGCCATTGATAGATCTATCTTTCATTAATTGAATTCTTTTTTGAACCCAGTTAAACCGTGGTCTTCACAAACTCCCCTAGCAACGAGTTCCACAGGGTAACTATGCATTGTGTGAAGGAGTACTTCCTTTTGTTTGTTTTAAACTGTCAGCCTGTTAACTTTGTTGGATGTCCTTTGGTTCATATGTTTGTATGAAGAGTAAATAACACTTCCTTATGCACTTTCTCCACAACTTTTGTGACTTTATAGACCACTAGCATATCCTGCTTTAGTTGTTCTTTTCCAAGCTGAAGAATCCCAATCTTTTAAATCTCTCTCACATGGAAGCTGTTCCATCTTGCTAATAATTTTTGTTGTGCTTCCTCTGTACCTTTTCCATTTCCAACACAGCTTTTATATGAGAGAGGGTGACCAGAATTACATGCAGTATTCAAGGTGTGGGCATACCGTGGATTTATATATTGGTATTATGATATTTACTGTCATCTTGTCTATCCCTTTCCCAGTGGTTCCTAACATTAATATTTAAATAGAATAAAAGCCTACATCTGGACAATGTGTAGGAGCAGTAAAAAGAATTAATTATACTTCAGTTGGCTCATTTCTCATGGCTAGTCTCAAGTTCAACAGAGTTCTCTGCTGTATTTAAAGCCCACAGGAATACATGAAACCATAGGCAAATAACAGGTGCAATTACAAGAACATCTATCTTAGTTTTATTAAGTTACCAACAAAATCATAAATGTCACAGCATATACAATTCCAAATAAAGAGATGTACCAGTTATAACTACAGACATAATAGTGTCCCAGATAGTGTTAAAGTCTGTTAGCACTCTCATGGACTGATTCATGATGGAGTTTCCCATAGGAAACTCCGTTTTCCTACTCTAGGCACCTTTTTTATAATCTAATTCTGTCTGTACCTACCGTATTTTCCGGCGTATAGGGCGACTGGGCGTATAAGACGACCCCCTATCTTTTTAATTAAAAGATAGGGTTTCATCTTATACCCCAGCGCCCCTCCGCCTCCTTTGCTCCCGGTGTCCCTGGTCTGCTGGAGATGGTCCCCAGCAGACCAGAGGCACCGGGAGCAAAGCC